TCCCAAATCCTTATACAAGAGGGAATCCTCAATAGCCGCGGCACTTGAAATTCTTTTAGGCAGTGGATGCATGATGGGGAAACCGAAGTTTAATAACGAAGATGAAAACGTTTGATAAAACATAAAACATTTTATTTACAAGGTTCGAACGTTTCGAAATAATTTATTCCATCTTCAGCAAAATCTGAAAATTGTGTTACAAAGATGATTATTACTAAAATTATAATAATATAATCATTAGTTTAGTTAGTTATTAAGAAACAAGGTAAATGGACGGATGAAACAATGTATATATATATATATTACACAACAGGTGAGTTAAGTGTGAACATTTAGAACAATTTTAGATCTAAAGAGCTTTGTGAGTCGTTAAGGGTCAGACTTAGCTATGAGTAGACTTTCTTTAATGTAGAGGTCAAGGTCTGAAAATCCTGTGGTGATGACAGAGAAATCGTTAAATGAAATATTGTGACCTGTGGTTTCAGAATGTGAACGAATGGAGGAGTGGCTGGGTTTAAGTAATGAATAGTTGGTTCTGTTAGATACTCCTAAATGTTCACAGACTCTAGTTTTTAAGTGGCGTTTCGTTTTGCCAATGTACGTGACCTTACAGTCACTAGACGTATATTTATACACGGCAGGATTTATTTTAGTCAGGATTAGACTAAATTAATCTATGAGACCGTTTTTTTTTCTTCTTTATATATATTTGTTCGCCATCAATACGAAACGTGGGGCGTGTTTGACCTCCTGAGTCCAAAACTGTGATTGACCTCACGTCATTCAAGAGGTGATGGAGCTATGAGCTGAAAGATTGTACTTGAAACAAACAAAACAAAAACTCAGAGCCATTCTATGAGTCACTATGCTGCAAATAAAAGTAGAATAAGCAGAAGAAGATAATAGTTTGAGAAATAAACATAAAACTTTAACATCTGACAAATTTGGTAAAGTAATATTGAAAATTCCAAACAACGTTTATCTCTTCTTCAAGAGTAAAGCGAAATAGAAGATAGACATTGATTACATAAAATCATCAAAGCTTTAAAAATGAGAATTTTGACAATAAAATTTTATTTTTGAAAAGGCCATTTCAAATGCTTAATTTCCCTTGAGAAAAACGAAAACATTTTTCCCCGAATTACTAAAGCCTTAGGTGTTTACACGAAAACAAACGATTTTTTAAAAATGCGGACTTTATTGGATATTTTAATACATAAACAATTAACAGTAGCGACTTCTGAAGAAAAAAAGATATATTTTTTAAAAGCCCACTTCGAATACAAGTTTGGCATAGAAGAACATAAAAATCCATGATACTGTTACGT